TCGCTGATGTTCACCACGGCAGCGGCTGCTGCTTCCCATGATGCTTTTCCAAAGCAGGGTTTTTAGTGATCTGAATGGAGAACCACTCCTGGGTCACATTAAGGCCTTGTATTTTCTCTGTGTCCTGACACAGTATTTCTTACTGTATCAGCAGAGTTTATTTTAATGCAAGCAAGCCCAAGCTCTTCCTGCTTCGCTGATCTAACACAACCAAAATTGTACTGTTTGTGGAATGATCTGTAACAAATTAATCATAAGGTTCAAATTGTACCCTGTATGCTGGCAGGAAAGCCTTTTCAGAGTTGCTTCAGCTGACTGACTCTTTATCTTGAAGCTGCTAACACTCCTCAGAGGTTTAGGTTGGCTTTCACTGGCATGGGTAACACTAACTCTTTGTTCTGCTCACTTAAACTAAGATTAATCAACATGGATATTTCCTGTTTCTTTCTTGCACACTTGTTAAGGAAGCAGTCCTCGACCCCACATCTTCTGGGACCTTAGAGGGGTTCCTGTTGATCAGGATGTAACACTGGTGTAGGACATGGTTTTCTTACTGTAAATGACCTACCTCAGGTTACTGGGTCCTGCGTAGTGCGTTGCTATGATCACTGTACACCATCCCTGTTTTTGGGACCTGTGGCCCGGGGGACACAGTTGTTCCTGTGATAGCTGTGACTTATTGAATGGTCAGCGTTGCATGTCTTTGTCAACTTGGACATTTTGTAGCCTTAGCATGTTTGCAAAATGTCTCATTGAGGCAGAAATCTGAAAAGTAAATAAAACTATTTTGGGTTTTGTAAATTTTTTTGGCTTAAGTGGTTTGTTTTGAGCACATAAAGAACTCTGCACCTTTTTGAGCCTTGGGGAGCAGGTTTGCAGGCTTTTGTTTTTTTTTTTTTTCCTTTTGTCATGCATCATGGTCTGATCTTTCTTCCTGCAGAGTAAAGGTGTTTCTTTAAAAGTGTAGTGGGTGATTTTTGTGCCCTCCAGCATGGGGGTAGCCTGCAATACATGTATGTTGAGTATTACAGGGAGTAATAATTTACAGTGCAAGTATTCAAGCCAAGTAGAAGGGCTGAGGTCAGGTGGAAGGCCTTCTAAGGCTCAGATTTTCCATTTTCTTTATCTGAAATCACTACTGTTTATAGAGTGACATGACTGCAAAGTCACAGAAAGAAGCATTTCTACCTACCAGTACCACAGGCAAATTGTGGCATTAACAGAGCTTGCAATGTAGCTTGAAGTAGCACAAAAAGTGTTGTTGTGGTTGTTCTTAACTCATGTCCAAAGCAAGAATTAACTAGCACAGACCTTACCCTGCTCACAGGCCTGGAGTTTACCCCATGGACTTCAATATTTCCCTTGAAGGAAATGGGCTAATGTACCTGGTTCTGCGTGCTGCTGGGGTCAGTGTGTGGCTTCACTTGGCAGCTAAGGCTGAGCTAATGGCAGTCTAGGCAAAAGGGGAGCCATCCTGATCTTATCCTCCTTCTTCTTCCAGGCTGGGACTTCCTCTTCCTTTCCCGATGCCAGCAGTGGCTCTTGTGTGGTCCAGTTCAGAAAGCTAAGTTGCTGAAAGCAGGAAAGCTGTACAAAGGAGGAGACAGGAAGGCACCACCCGCAGGAAGGGAGGTGAAGTGAGGCTGCTCTTTTCAGTAGGTGCTGGCTGTAACAGTAGCATAGGTGTGAGAGGGAGCTGCTCAGCGATCTGCCCCAAACCGCTGCTCCCAGTTACACTCTCCTAAAGAGCTGAGTCTTTGCTGCAGCTTTGGCCAGCTGAAACAGCTCAGCAAGGTGTCAGACAAGGGTCTGTGATGGAGCAGGTGAACGGTCACCTGTGAATAGCAGGATTAGCTCAACCATTTTGTTAAACCTTAGCTGCAGCACTGTTACTTTGGAATTAAAGACAGAGACTGACAGAAGGAAATGTTCTTTCTGTTGTGATCACTTCTGCTCTTCATTTGGCACTTGTGTCACAGGTGTACTGAAGTGTTGATGCTCACAGGGGGAGCTGTAATTTTTGAACTGACTCTCATCCTGAACCACAGGAGCAAGCTGAGGCCTGGCCAAGGGCCCCGTCGCTGAAGTGGAAGGAAGAAACATTAATATTCACAAATCTGACTAAAGTATCTGTATTGTTGGAGCATTCTGCAAGAGGCTGATGATTGAAATGTTCAGGAATTGCATTCTGCTTTAGAATTTATAGTATGATATCCAGAGAAGACTTCATCCTATGAGGAATAGAATAAGACACTGGGATTGGGACAGAGACTTTCTTTAAAGAGATCCTACCCAAAATAGCATGGAGATAGCACATGCTTCTGTTCTGGTTTAATATCAGCTGGCAACTAAGCCCCACACATTCCTGTGGGATGGGGGAAAGAATTGAAAGGGTGAAAGCAAGAAAACTTGAGAATTGAGATCAAGACAGTTTAATAGGGAAAGCAGAAGCAAAACAAGGTATTAATTCCCCACTTCCCATGGGCAACTGTGTCCACGAAAGCAGGGCTCCATTTTGTGTAATGGTGACTTGGGAAAACAAGCACCATAATTTTGAATGTCCCCTCCTTTCTCTCCAGCTTTTTTAATGCCATATGGTCTGGAATATCTCTGTGGTCAGTTGGGTCAGCTCTCCCTGCTGTGTCCACTCCCATCTCCTTGAGCACCCTCAGCCTCCTTGCTGGTCAGATGGGGAATAGAAATGTCCTTGGTTCTGTGCAAGCCCCCCTCAGTAACAGCTATACAACATCCCTGAATTATCAACACTGTTTTCAGCACCAGCCCCAAACACAGCCTGATACCAGCTACTGTGAAGAAAATTTACTCTAGCCCAGCCAAAACCAGCACATCTTACAGCAAAGGCTGTGGCCCAAGACCAGCAGGTGTGCAAAAGGAGAGAGATTTGCCTGGGATAACTGGTTATTGTATTGTTCTCTGGAATTTTCATTACATCAGTTTTGCTTATTCTGTCCAAACATTGTGAGTGCAGCTGAGCCTGATTCATTATCAAAAGCTTAGAGCCTCTTCAAGAGAATGTGTTCTTCCTCATCTTATCAGTCTGATGAGTGGACACACTGCACTTGCTTGGGACTTCAACCAAAGCACAGGTAGGATTCTTCTGAAAGCACTGTGGGGTTAAAGTGTAGTTGGATTGGTGTAATCAGGCCCTAAAGTTGTCCTGGCTTGAGCACCTGAGGACATTTCACCCTTATCTGTGGTAAAGGTCATGCAGGGTCAGATCCTGAGATTGCTGGGGCTGTGCTTTGCCCACCACCTGTAGATGAAAGCCATATCAAACAGGCTTAGTGCATCACTGGAAACAAAATTGGAGGGAGCTGGATATTTTCCAAAAGGCAACTGGTATGAGTGTGAGGTGTCAGAAAGATAAAAGCAAGATATTTGATTTATTAAAGGAGGATGTGGACAGCAAAAATGGCAGGACAAAAGGTTTTTCTTAGTTACAAGGGGATTTATTCTAAAGGCAAAATTTCTTTTTGAAGGTGCTTGAAAAGAATGCTGAGGAAGTGCAGGATGCTGTACGCAGCAACCAAAGAGCCTGAGTGCTATCTTGTTATTTTTTTACTGCAACTGTAGCATATGTTTTACTATATATAAAGTGATTACACAAAGGTTTTCTTTAGCTTCAGGTCGGTGGAGGGTGATATTGTGATTTGTTTAACCCTTGGCTGAGCCAGTAACTGCAGCCACAATGTGCTGAGGCCACAGTTTGTGCCTCTGGTGTGATGATACAGTGGAAACTGAGCTGGAATTTGGTGCAGATGCTGCAGTTGTTAGTGTAAGGCTTGGGAAGCTTTCAGAATGTACCACTATGTATTCATTAAACCCACAACCATGTGAAAAATGTTCCTGTCTTGTCCAAAATATGTCTTGAAGCCTCATCAGGCAGTGAGGTAGGCAAAGCATAACAGTGAAAATTAGAGTGAAAATAACTTACAGAAGCATCACTACATGGGGCAGAGACTGCACTTCTCTTGGGCTGGTGGGAGTGCAAATCACAGTTACTTGCGCACACCTCCTTCCTTCCAGCTTGCTGTCTCCGGCTGTTGCCATGCAGAGAAACAAGTGCTTGTACAAAGCTGATAACTTTGTGATTTCTGCCCTTTCCCATTTCGGAAGGCAGCAGTAGAGGGTGTGTAATTGATTACCCCGAGTTCTGGGGAAGAGAAAATACATTATATCTGACCTGGGCTCTGGGGCCAGTTTTCAGTGAGAGTTGGAGCAGGAAACCACGCGCAGCGCAGCCGGGAGAGAAGGGATTAAAAAAAAAACCAAAAAACGGGTGTGGGGGGGATGCAGGGAGAAAGGAGGTTATTTAGGGTTAGCTGTGAGCTCGATGTGGGGGTGTGACCAGGAGGAGTGAGGAAGCCAAACTCGTTACTGGTGGGATGAGGGTGCAATAATCAGCCCTGCTGGGAGCCGTGGAGGCTTTGGGGGTGTTTTGGTGCAGCTGGGGACGGTGAAAGTGAGGCACTCAGAGGGACAGAGCTGGCTCTGAGGGCACAGCAGTGATCCGAGCGGGCTGTTGTGGCCAATGGCCGTGCCCAGAGCAGGAGTTCTGGGATCGGTGTGTCCGGGCCAGGCCCCGGGGCTGGGCTATGCGAGAGGGAGGGAAGCTCTGCGTGGGCCCTTTAAAGCTGCCCTGCGAAAGGGGCACGGCTGGACGGAGTCGCCGGCGCGCATGGCGGGCGGCACGCGCGGATACCCACGCCCGTGAGGGAATGAGGGAATGAAAGAGTGGCCGCTGCTCTCCCGGAGCGGTGCCGGTTTCCGGGACTGTCTCGGTGCCCGCCCTGGGTCCGGCCGTGCCCGGGCCGGGCTGAGGCGGGCCGGGGGCGGGGTGGCTGCGCGCGCAGCGGGCGGGGCGGGGCCGCCCTCGAGCGCCCCTCGGCGCCCCCGCGGCGCCCCCCGGCGGCCGCGCCCGCCGCTGCTGTCCGGGCCCGGGCCCTGCGCTCCCTCGGCCGGTCCTTTCCGCCTCCCCCTCCCCGCCCCGGCCGCTCCGGCCGCCGGGGCCTCCCTCCTCCCCGCCCGCCCATGGATTTCACATAGCAGCCGCCGCCTCCGCCGCCGCCTCCTCCTCCTCCTCCTCCTCCTCCGCCGCCGCCGCCGCTCCATGGCGGCTCCGGCTCCGCGGCCGCCCGGCCTGTGCTGCTGCCGCAAGGGCTCCGCGGCCGGGCCGGAGGCACCGCCGGCCCCGCCGCCGCCTCCTGAGCCGCCGCCGGACGTGGCGTCGGCGTCCAGCTCGCAGCTCTTCAGCCTGAGGCACCTGCACCTGGGGCTGGAGCTGCGGCCCGAGACGCGGGCGCTGGCGGGCTGCCTGGTGCTGGAGCTCTGCGCGCTGCGCCCGCAGCCCCGCGCCCTGGTGCTGGACGTGCACCCGGCGCTGCGCGTCCTCTCGGCCGCTTTCCGCCGTGCCGCGGCCGGGGAAGCGCCCTGCGCCTTCGCCTTCTCGCCCGCCGAGGCCGCCGCCGCTCCGGCCCCGCCGCCCCCGCCGCCCTGCCCGCCGCCGCCGCCGCCCTGCGCGCCGCCCTGCGCCGCCAGCCCGCCCGCCACCGCCACCTTCCTCTCGGCGCCCTGCATCGCCGCCGGACCGCTGCCCCCCGCCGCCCCCCCGGGGGACCCGCCCGCCGGCCCCCCGCCCGCCGCCGCCGAGCCGCCGCCGCCGCTGCCCCTCTTCGCCCAGGCACCCTGCTCCGCCTGCCCGCTCGGCTTCAGGGTGGACCCCTTCACCGACTACGGCTCGTCCCTCACCGTCTCCCTGCCCGCCGCCCTCCAGCCGCACCAGCCCTTCCAGATCATCGTCCGCTACACCACGGCCGACGGCCCCGCCGTGAGTACCGGGCGGGGGTTGGTAACGTAGGAAACCGGGTCCCGGGGCGGCTGGCAGAGCCCTCCCGTGCCGCCCGCGCATCTTTGCTCCTGTTCTAAGTGACGGTCGGGGAAGCGTCCCGGCTCCTCAGCAAAGGCGGCGGGAGGTGTCTCGGTGCCAGCCTCTCCGGTCCTGCCCCTGGCCCCGTGGCCTGGCAGTGCCAGCCCGCCGGGCAGCAGCATTTGTGCCCTGCCCGCAGGGACTCTCGGCACTGCCAGCCTCGCCGGGCCCCGCCGCGCTCAGCAGCGGTGCCCGGACCGACCCAGCCTCTCTCCCTCTGTCTGCCCCCATCCTGTGGACCCCAAGCCTATTCATCCCCCCTCGCTATTATAATTTGAAGGTTTTTCGTTCTTTAAGGACATTGCAGTTGTTGGCGGGAAGAGTGAAAATTTGCAAACTCCTGCCTTGACCCAGTCCTTCAGGATAAATTATGTCATGCACAATGTAGGAGTCTCCCTGGGGGTTTTGCCAACTGCTAACAAAATTAGGCCTTGCACAGCTAGGCTGGTGTTCCAGTGAGCCATGGTCAGGAGCTTTGAGAAGAACAGGGGTGATTCCACAGGTTCCTACAAGTTATCTGCTGAAAAAAAGGATGAGAAGTGGCCCAAAACGCCCCTTTGGATGTAGCCATGGAGGTGCTTCCATGTCTGTGGATTCGCTTTCTTCAGCAGTGAAGTGCTTTGTAAATTCTGTCGCTTCTTTTAAACCCCTGGTATTTAGAAGCACTTTATTCCCAGCCTTTTAGGTGCTGCTTATCAGATCTTGTGTTTTTAAGAAGTTTTTTAAGTTTTAGGTGAAAATATGAAGTTCTCACGTAAACATCAGTTCTGTTTATTACTGTACAGGCTGGAAATTGAGGTGATTTTCATCATGTGGTTCATGAATCTATTTACAAAAGAGATGTATTTTTATAAGAGTCTTGCAACTTTGTTGCATCTATGTTGCCTAGAGGAATTCTCTCTCAGTCCTCTGATTTGGTGTTGCTGTTGCACTGGTCAAAATCAGTAAATGTGTAGATCTATTTGGCTTTTACAATGTATTTAACAAGAGCAGGAATTGAATAATAAAAGCTTCTTGCAGCACAACCCACAGGAAGTAAGTAGCAGGCCTTTCCTCTTGATAGGAAAGTCTTGTTGATTAGGATGTGTTTGCTGGGTGTTTCTCTGTCTAATTTTAATACTACATGGAAGATTACAAAAGTAATTTCATCCTTGGAATGATCTGGGTAGTCTTAATACATTGGCTCACTCGGAATAGTGAGTTCCACATGAAGACTTTTATTGACAGAAGTTTCCTATGGTCATATGGTGACTTTTTAATGTTCTAATCTTTCACTAGAAGTGCAAAAATTAAGGAAGATTCTGTCACTTCTAAAGTTCAGATACACTTGGATATTGTTCCTTTTCACCTTTGGAATTCCTGGCTTTAGTATTTCCTTGTACAATACTCTGCCATGTAGCTCACAGTGTGTTCAGAAAATTCCGTTCATTATTTTTTCCCGGGTTTATGAAGGAACCTGTTTCTTTTGTCCAGTCTCTGCCTTGTTTATGGTGAGAAGGCTTTAAAGCTAATTTGGCATTGCTGTGTGCTGTGTAATCGTTCTCAGTCTGGCTGAGCCACACCTCCCAAAGTACATGATAACGTGCTTTCCTCCTCTTGAACAAATTGTTTTATTTTAGGCCAGCCTGTGCTTTCCCCTGTGTTTTGCCAGCCCTGTTGCCAAAGGGAGAGCCTGTCCTGCTGAGTCTATGGAGAAGTGATCTCAGTATGACTGGAATACTGATCTGGCTTTGGGAATGTGAAAACCACTGGAAGGTTCAGGGTTGATGTGATGTCCATTTAATCTCACCTTGTATTTGTGTGTTGTCTCCTTGGCCCCACACACAGTCCTGTGTGGATGCTGGAGGACATTTCTTCCATTCCCTCTATTGTTGTCTTGCTCCCCATGGGTCAGAGGTGAGCTACCTATTCTTTATAGTGTTCTTTGAAGTCTTTATTGTACCTTTAACATGTGTCCTGCTTCAGCTGAACCGAAGCTGCAAGGGCTCATGTCAAGATTATTGATGGTCACAGCACTGGGGACATGCACTGCCCTTCCCAAGTGATCCTGGAAAGCAGGAGCAGGCATGCTCACTGACATAAATCCTACCATGTTTGTTCACTCTCTGTTGTAGGTTTTGGCTGGCAAAATATTTGTCCTCGAGTAGCACCTGTTGTAGCCCTTCATGTTCAGCCTGGTGAGCTATTTTGTTTGGATCCAAAGTGATTTGGTGCTATTGTAGTGCTCTCTGTCACTGCTGTTTTTTGGCCCAGCCCTGCACTTTAACAGGGACGAGTAACCCTTGGGTCAAATGGTTTATACTCATGTCTTGTAAATATCCTGGCAGTCCCTTTTCTGTCAGTGAGGCACAGATTTACAATGTCAGACCTCTCTCTTATAAAAGTTCTATTTTCTTTGGCCATTCTAGGCATGTATTCTCCTTAGGTCAGGGTTTATTTTCTGTGGGACCTTTATCATACTTGTGGGACCTATAAAACAGTAAATACATGTTACAGTGCAGTGTGAATGTGTTGGCAGTAAGATCAGCAGCAGAGATAGTAGTGTTTAAAATTGGAAACCTGTTGTCTTGATAGACTTGCTTTGAGCCATCTGGACATGTTATTTGACTGTCCCATTATTTCTCATGTGGAGGAAGAAGCCAAGATCTTTGGTTGTTTGATGGACATTGAGAGACAGCTGAGAGATTAAATCTGCCTTTCACAGAGCATTCCAGCTCCCTGTGCTGTTAGGAAACCATATGCTCAGTACATCACCAGTTTCCATCAGAGGCAAGACTGTCACAATCATTGTGTATCTCTCCTGGTGTGGGCTGAAGGCACACAGTGATCAGATATATCAGGGACAATAGTCCTGTTCTTTCTCTTCTTCTTCTGCCTCATCCCTTATTCTTGGTAATACTCTTGTGTGATATTTTCTTTTTTCCTTCCCTAGAGAGAAAAATCTGCCCCTGTCTCTTGCCCACTGTGCCATTTCTCTGATTTGGCAGTGCACATCTTAGCGGCAGTGCTATTTTCTTTCTTTAAATGCAAATCCTCCTCTGGGTTCTGGTACAAAAATTATAACATTTCCTCATCTTCAGGATTTAGCAGAAAGGACAGCTCTCTCTGCAGTGCTAGAAACATCCCTGTAATTCCTTAGATTTGTCTTGATTCCTCAGTCCCCATAGAAGGACTTGCTGCCCAGGTGTGCCTTGCTTGTGTCACGTGCTCTGCATCTCAGGTGTTTTGTTTACTTTGTCATCAGATAGAGCAGCTTGTTTGCCTAGAACAGAAGCTGTGGCTTTGCAGCTCTTCTGCCACCTTCATCAATAATGCATGTAGGAACATGGAGAGGTTTAAAATTAAAAGAAGCTTAGCTAATTGCCTTTGTCATTTGCCAGATTTGGGCAAAAGATTATGATCTAAGTCAATAAAAATTATACTCTTGGCAGGTGTCTTATAAAGTGTGGACTTCTTTGCAGTATGTGGGCAGGGGAAAGCCTGGGCTGCCAAAAGCCTTTGTTCAGCAGAGGAATCATGCAGCAGGTCTTTTAATTGAAATGCACCACAGAACAGCTTTAATGTGTGAAACAGCTTTCCTGTATACATGAAAAGCTAGATAAAAATGAAGAGCATGATGATGATGTCATGTGTATTTCCCAAGGGGAAGTGCAGGAGGGATTTGCATGTGGAGTAGATGATACAGCCCCAAATGCTGCTCTGTCCCTCTGCTCCACCACCTGCCCAGCAGCACCCTGTGCCTCTCACTCCTTTCTGGGATGCTGCTTATACTCATTTTCCCCAGCCCATAGCCCTGCCTCTGTCCAGCAGCATAGCCTGGTCTATTTATATTACAGATCTATTTATATTGTTTCAGGATAACTTTCATCATTGTTCCAAGTGTGTCTGGAAAGAGAGACAGAGGCTTGCCATGTAGCTGCAGACGTTAGAAAACAGGGGAAAAAAATACTTCATCCTCTGCAAATGTTTTCCCTCTTGGCTTGTGGGGCTGGTGTTTCACTTAACTTCAACCAAATGTCAAATAAAGCAGTACTGGTTGAAAAGAAGTTGTCCTTAATTTATGGAGTTTCTTGTAAACAAGAATCAACTCTTGGTTCCCCTTCCCTTCCTGCTTATGTTTTCCTCCTGCATTGCTCAGGGAGAACTTCCCCTTGTCTCTCTGCTGTAAAGACATTGTCTGTCAGCCCTTTTTCCTTCCTACTCAAGTGTTGCAACTTAGGTGTGGTGGTGCCTTATCTCTCTGTTTTCTTTGTTAGCCTCTTCTGTCTCTCAAAAAGCAAAGGAAACAATGTTTTGAAGATGAGTCTCTTCAGCAGGGCCAGCGATAGGATTGGAAGTCAGACTTTGTGATGCAAGCACAAAGCCACTGATCAGATGAGTGTTTTTAAAAAGCATTGGGGCAGAAATTGAAATGTAATTTCTGAGCCTCTTCCCTGGATCCTTAGAAAACTACTGCCCTGTATTAAATACAGCACCTTCATTTTTTTGTAAATGTGTGTTCTGGGTGGAAGTTCCTAGTTACTGGTATGCAATGAGACATATGTCCCCAAATGCCTTCTGGAACAGCTGTGTCTGGTTCCATAACGTGGCATTGCAGACATTATATTCATTGCTGTGAAAAGCAGGTATCCATGAGACATGTAGTGGAAATCTGTAGATGTGGAGGTGCCCCTGGGCTGTGACCCAGGGTTGTGGGCAGTGCTATACTGAAATGCAGCACATGGGTGTGAACAGACAGGGCTCCTTTAGAAAGTCCTGCTTTAGGCTTGATTCTGGCCCTACAGGCTCAAAATAGAAGAGGGTAATCTTAAAACAAATTTCAAGAGATTAATTTTACTTTTAGATAAAGGCTTTTAATTTTGTAATTCTTCTCTCCTAAAAAACCCCAAACATTTGCCAGCAGAAGTGTGAGACTCCATGGGAATAACTGAAACTGCTGACTCGGTTTCCTGTCCTCACCTTTCACTGATCCCTGGGGGGCTGCTGCAGTGGATGATTTGGGAGAGAAGCACACTGGCATCTGAGGATAAAGGTCTACAGGCAAGGCAAGATATCAAAAAGTAACCTTATAGGACAGAAGGAGACAGAGAAAACTTTAACTTCCAAAAGTTAACTAGGAGTCAGAGTTGTAACATGTTGTTAAAACGTGAGCCGTACCCAGACTTCTCTTCTGTGTTCCGTTGCTTTCCCTTGAGGACTAAAACTGAACTAGTATTTGCACTAACTGCTGTTCCCTGATCTCAGATTTATTGGTTGCTTTGATCTAAGAATTCAGCAGACTCAGAAGTTTTATTCCTTGTGCTTGACTGTTTCCAAGACTTCCAGTGGTTCAAATTTTATTGCACATTTCACAGTATTTGATATTTTCCATCAGAGTTCAGCTCCAGAGTTCTAGGATTACAAGGAAATCCTTATTTAAAATTGCTTCTACACTTCAAAGTTGAAGGCAGGGAGCACGTGAAAGCACAAACATTTAAACAGAAAGACCAAAAGGCAAATAATTGGGCTTTTTCTTATTATTCTTAATCTGCTCTAATTATTTGCTGAGGGTCTGACTTGTGATTTATTTGCTGTTTGGTACTGAAAATTGACATGCTTAGTGGTGTGTTTTGTTGGCTTTTCTTTTGTGACCACCCAGAATTTCCTTATCCATTTTGTAAAAAGGGGCCTCCAGTGTCCTTGACCAGATGTTTCTTACATATACTGACTTTTTTGCATAGTGTCAAAATGTTTGATGCTTCAGCCAGGAGGGCAGTGTCAGGGTCACAGATAATATTGTGTACACTGTTCAGCTTCAGGGATTTTTGGTTTGTGGATTTGGATTTGTTTTGGGTTGTTTTTTTTTTTTTTTTTCTTTTCAGCTTATGTTACCTGACCCCTTCTATTCATATTTAGTTTTAAAGATGGAGATAGCCAGAGTACCCCCTTTGAGAAGAAGGTTTTGGGGATGTTTGTTAGGGACTTGTTATTAACCAAGCAAATTGATATAGCAGAAATAGTGAGTGGCTGGCAGTCACTATGTTACGTGTCACCACTCAGTGTTCAGACAGTAAGAATTTTTCTGAGTATTCCCAGCAAATAAAACAGCATAGAAAGATGTATTGTTAGAGATGGAAATGTGCCCTGTGCCAGGTGTTCATCTGGGGAGCTAAACAGCTGAGGTGGTGCTTCTCCGCCACAATCCTCTTCATGCACATTTTGGTTTTGGCAGTTCATCCTTATCACATTGTCTGTTTCCCTCATCTCTTCTTCCCGTCGTGTTTCAACAGATCTGGTGGCTGGATCCAGAGCTGACATATGGCAATGCCAAGCCCTTTGTCTTCACCCAGGGACACTCAGTGTGTAACCGCTCCTTCTTCCCCTGCTTCGACACCCCTGCAGTGAAATGCACCTACTCAGCTACTGTCAAGGTAAGGGATGCCTGGGGATGGTTCACAGAGCTCTTAGCTGCTGTTAACTTGTGAAAGTGTAGTTACATCATGTATTTTTAGCAGTTTACATCTGCTAAAAATATTGTGATTCAGTGTTATAAAGAATACTGAATTTTTTAGGTCTAATTCTGGTTCTTGGGCCAGAATCAGGGTAGTGCCTCGAAGGTAACTCTGTTGCCTACCACGTGTGGGTCTTGCCTTCCTTGTGCTCAGTACTTGAAAGAGTAATTGTGAAATAAAAATATGAGAGAGAATTTGGCTGGCCCCTTCCAATAGTGGTTATTGATGATGATAATACTCAACTGTATTGTACCAGTTTTTGAAAGAAAAAACCTGAAGTCTTTTGAAATCAGCATCAAATAATGTTGCATTTTGTTTAGATGAAATAATTTAATATGTGGGTGCTTTTGGCCAGCTGGCATATAGGAGGAGTAATATCTTTTGTTGTTATGTTTTCATGGATTGGGCAGACTGTGGTATAAAACCTCACAGAAATATTACATTTTGTGTTATGTAAATGATTATTTTTAATGTACATCATCAGGCATAGATGAAAATGAACTAGAGATGTGTGGTTCAGTCATTCAGCTGTGATTATCTGGTGAGTTGATGTGTATGATGATGGTCTTCCAGGCTCCAGCAGGCATACAGGTGTTGATGAGTGCCACCCAAAGCTCCTACCTAGAAGAGGAAGGTGTATATCAATTTTACATGGAATATCCAGTTCCTGCTTACCTAGTGGCCCTTGTGGCTGGAGACCTCATACATGCAGACATAGGTCCAAGGTAAGATTTGCAGTGAGTTCATTCTGCATTTTATGTCTCTGTACAGTGCTTCATACTGTAAAGTAGCAAGGATTTGAGTAATTGAAAAGGGAACAGTTGGGTTCATGAGCTGTGAGCACAGAGACTTTGAAGTGTAGTTGGATATAAAGAAATTCATGGCACTGCACTGGCAAATATATATTCCTCTTCCATAAATGTTGCCTAGTGCTCCCTGAAGTCATTACAGCTGCTTTCTCATAGCCTTGTTGAAGGGATTTTTGGTTGCCTCTTGCCATGTTCCATGGAGCATTAGTCTAGAAAGGCCCAGGTCTGCTGGGAGGTCTCCTTGCTCTGTTACCATACATGGAAGTGTGGTAAGGCTATTTTTTTTTTCTGAGAGATAATTCAGTTTGCTGAAGTATCACCTGATGTTTTCTGTTTTCTGACAGGAGCAGAGTGTGGGCAGAGCCTTGCCTGCTGCCAACAGCCATCAGCAAACTTTCTGGCATTGTGGAACGCTGGTTGACTGCTGCAGAGAGTCTGTATGGCCCCTATATATGGGGAAGGTGAGTTTAATCAGTCTCCTGGGAATGTGCAATGGGAACAAAATAAAACAGTATTGAGAAATGATCATGCTTTCTCCCTATAGCAGGGCAAACTAGCATTTCAGCTGGCAGCATTGTATTAGTTGAAAACAGACTCTGGAGTTTTGTCTCCACAAGTGACAGGAAGGACCATGGAGACATGAGGGTGTTTTAGCTGGTTTGCAGTGAAAAGATCCACTGTTTAGGAATCTCCAGTTTGAAGTGGAGGTTTCTAAATAGTGGTTCTTTCCTGAGGAATGAAGATTTTCATACTACAGTGTTTGGTGATGTAAGTCCAGCACTGGGCCAGACACCATTTAAAATGTATGGTTGTTTTATTTATCTCATTTATTTCTGCATTTATTGTGGCATGCCTGAGAATACTGAATATCTCAGTATAGACTCATTGAGAGTCCAAGTCCCCACACCAACATTAATAGCTCTTGAAAAGCTTGACTATATATTAAAAAAGAGTGGTTTTGAGAGAATGCTTGCCTCTTTCGATGGGAGAAAATGCTTACAAAGGTTTCCTTTATTTCTTTGCTAAAGGTAAGCAGGAAGATTGCCTTGTTATTGATTTAACAAGTATTGCTTCAAATAATCTGAGAACATGGCCTCATGTGCCAGTGCTGATCACTGGTAAAGAAAAAACAAATATTACCGTTGTGTTCCAAAGCAGACAGATTAAAGTTATTTTGATGACACTGCATGTGTAGGAAATCAATTCCTTCATTGACAGCTTCCTAGCCTCTCTCTTTCCTGGGAGCCTCTGGGGACTCAACACTGTGTTCCACTACTGTTTATAGTGTAAACAGTTTTTGTGGCTCCCAGATATACAACTTGTGATGAGTTTGTGTGTGTGAAGGGAGCACAATGCTTCTTTTGATGACATCAAAAGACTGTCAAGTCTTTACATCCAAACATAAGCAGGTCCTTGGCCAACAAAATAAATTGTGATCCTCTGATCAGAAGAATTAGGCACCACTGGTATAGAAAGTTTGTTCCTGAAGTCACAAGAAGGTCTCAGAAGAGCCTTCCCTAAAGAAAGAAAAATGTTACTGTGTCTTCTGAAAACAGAAAATGTTACTGTGTGTCTTCTATCTCCAATTTACTCATGTCCTTTCTTCTTTCTTCTCTCCCTAATTTTAGATATGACATTGTTTTTCTTCCTCCTTCCTTCCCTATTGTTGCCATGGAAAACCCATGCTTGACCTTCATCATCTCTTCCATTCTGGAGAGCGATGAGTTTTTGATCATTGACGTCATTCACGAAGTTGCCCACAGCTGGTTTGGGAACGCAGTCACCAACGCCACGTGGGAGGAGATGTGGCTGAGCGAGGGCCTGGCCACCTACGCGCAGCGCCGCATCACCACCGAGACCTACGGTACAGCTCCAGAGCTCCTCCTGGGCTCCTCCTTGCCACAGCTCTGAGCTGCCTGCTCACAGTGTTTGCCTTGGAAGCTCAGAAGTCTGTAGGGAGCTGGTTTTCAGTTAGGCTTTGTTTTATTTCTGGAACGCACACCCACACACAGCCCCAAAGTTTGTGTTGAACATGTTGCATACTTAGAGTTTGACGTTGTCTTGGCTTTAGTGGGCTCAATACCGGATATGGTACCAGGGGCTTTGAGTGAGCTGTGTTAGCACAATGCTGTGGGGACTTGGAGCTACTGTTGGGTACCAGGCAGGGGCTGATATGTCAGAGCAAGGTCAGCAGAGGATGCGTCAGAGAAAGATGTAAGAAATCTTATAAAAGTTACATTGTGAAACAACTGTCCTCTGAACAAGCGTCCTTTTAATTCTGATCAGTTAGTAGCTACCTACTGTTAAAAAGAATGGTGGCAGTAATATTAAAAAAACATGCAGATTTTTGTAGCTGTTTATGTACTGGAGGCTTCCTGCAGCATTGTAAACCCTGCCTTTGCTTGTGTCAGTGAATTTCACAGGTCAGTTTTATGATGCTGTCTTTAAATATATGAGTAGTAAATTATTCCTCTTTCTTTTGAGTTTAATTGGCTTGTTATTGAAGTCAATCATGGGAATGTATGCTTTTCTAGTTTGTCCTGTTATATTCTTAAAAGCCAGTTCCATGTGTTTTCTCAAGCATCCAATGTAAACAATCTTAGAAAAGTTCCTAGAAATCTTGACAGCAAAAATGTTTAGAAGAAAGCATTTGTTTTTATTCATGTATATTGTTTTTGGACATGAACTGATGACAAGTTTAGGCAAAGAAGTGCTCTGAGCATCTATGGAGATGTTACAATGCATATTATATATCTTTGAAAGCTGTTTTGTGTTGAGTAATTCTCAGTGAGTAGTGCTGTCCTAAGTCACATTATGCATGGCAGTAATGTGGGTAGGTCAGCAGATATCAACCTGTTCATCATCTTAGTCTGTTCCATCCAACATAGAACAAAATCCTTTCTGATTTTGGTCTATTCTCTAGAGCTGGTTGTTTCAAGAAGCATTTGCTGGGAAACTAAAAAATGTCTTTCCCTGTGCAATTCTTTAGAAAGCTCTTTCTCCATTCTATTTTGTTTCCAAGACAGACCTTTGATCTAAATCTTACCCTCCCTGACATAATTTCTGGAGTCTTTTCTGTTGATAGTAAATAGGCATCTTTGCAATGATATTGTTTAGGGAAATATGAGTCCACTGACTACCACTCCTCTTGGATCTTGCTTAATTCTCCTCTCTGTAGCTTGAAGTAATTGCCCTTAACACTAGTTACCCTAGTTCTTGCTTTCCCTTGGGAAGCAGGTCCACTTCCTTCTCTGTTCATACAGGTTCTTTTGTTTTCCAGATATATCCTGGTTCTTAATTCACATTTGGCTATGTAGGATTTGGGTGTTACACTGAGAGTCTGAGGTTGTGTTATGTAATAACCTGACTTCAGGTTAAAAACTCAGCAAAGAAGGCAAAACTTTTAATAGTTATGGGTGTTAAGTATCTTCTGAATCTGAAAATCCATTTTCTGCAGCTTCTAATGTCTGAAAGGGCATAGGAAAGATCTCTTGACTTGGTAGTGTAATACAGCAGGTTTGGTTTGAAAGCATGGAATGCTGTATATTGCAATTAGGGAGAAGGAGGAGCTTACCCAGTCACAGCTGTAAAAAGTCCTAATGAGAGGAAGGTGAAATACTTAGAGCAAAAACCTGGTAGGATGATAGATAAAGCTTTAAAATAGAGACAGGGTCTGTAATACAATAACCAAATCCAGTTCTTTTCTCTTTCCACTCAAGAGGTGACATTTGCTTAGTAATTCTTGGTGCTGACTAAGGAATTGTGTTTACTGTTCTACCAGTGACAGTGTGCTTTTGCAGCACTTGATTGCTCCCTGAAAGTTACCTGTACAGTACTTTTTTCAATGCTGCCCTCTTTGTCTTGCAAGAACTGATGAGATGATGTGAAAGATGTAAACTTTAGCATAGTTTTCATGCTGTTTTGGTTTCCAGTGCAGCCTGATGCATGATCAGAGTGAGGAAATACACTGGGTTAGGCTCTGACTTCCATTACTAATTACAAGGGTGCTCTGCACTCAAGTTCCTCTGCCAATACATTACTGTGATTCTGTCTCACTGTTTTGTCTTTTGCACTTGCAGCAGCTTTTGGTTTGTCCCTGTGCCAGTCCTGCACAGATCAGCTTTTGCTGATCATTTTCCCACAACTAACAAGTTACTTTTTGGGGTAGGAGCTGCCTTCACATGTTTGGAGACTGCATTCCGCCTCGATGCTCTCCACAGACAGATGAAGCTCCTTGGAGAAGACAACCCGGTCAGCAAGCTTCAGGTTAAACTGGAGCCAGGTATTGCTTTTGGCTGAGGCTGCTCTAGACAAAATTTTACACCTCTGTATATCCATGGTGAAATATTCACAAAAAATTACTAATATTTACATATCTTTTTGAAAAAAAAAAAATTGGTTTGTAAAAACAAGTCTAAAAACAAGTAAGGAAGCTTTGCTTTCAAGCTTTTTTCAAGGTTGGATAGCTCATCTTTATAGATACTGTTCTGTGTAAGAACGGACTTACTGAATAGAAAGTATGTGAAAAACTGCCTTGAAAGCTGTGTGGGTTTGCAATTCTGGACATGTAAAATAAAGTATTTAAAATGGAAATATTTGGGAACATAATATAAAATCCTCTGCTATTCAGTGTTCCTCTCTTTATGTGTTCATGTAAGAACTATGTATGTATTTAGCATGCAGATAACCAGGTCATGCTTTGAGTTGAGCTGTGCAGAGGCTGTTTGGTTATTCCTTGAGCAGATGCATGACTGCACTCCAGATTTACCTGTCTCCTTCACTGGTAGTTCTCTAGGTCTGTGGTCACAGTTGGGTGGGTGAAGCTGTCTTCTATCTAGATGATATTTGAAACAACCTAAAATGCAAGTGGAGATGATATTGGAGTCAAATGAAATGGAAAAGCTGTGTGAAAGCCTGAAGAAAGGAGCAAGTGGTGATTACCTTTTATTGATATCTTTGAAAACTTGTGGTATGGTGATTCCCAGAACCTGGCACTGAAAAAAGAAAAAATAATTTGTTTTCAAGTTCCAGATCTGTTTTCAGTGACCTCTAGTTTGAAGTGGCTTATTCCTTTGGGAGTTACTACTTACCTTGCAATGACTGATTTAAAAAAAAAATAAATTCAGGCTGTGTCTTTGGATTGCATCTATTTATTTACTGCAGTAACTTAAATGTACTGACAACAAGCTTAGTTTTTATTAAGTCACTATGTCTCACCTTGGTGATCTCTAAGGAGTCTGTATAACTCAGAAGGGGCTGGAAATCACTCTCCTCATTAGTTTCTTGTCGTGTTGTCTTCTTTCAGGTGTAAATCCCAGTAATTTAATGAACCTCTTCACCTATGAGAAAGGCTACTGCTTTGTTTACTACCTGTCCCAGCTCTGTGGTGACCCCAGACACTTTGACTCCTTCCTAAGAGTGAGTATAAATATGTGTTTTCTTGAGATTTAGAGCTGATTTTTTGTTGTTGGGGTTTTTCCTCCAGATTCTTTCACTGTGACTAATTGTTAAGGGTAATGTCGAATACAAGTGTGTCAGAGATGGAGGAAAATTGTGGGCCTGTCAGCTTACATGAATCTTTGTACAAGATTTCTAAGATTCTGATCTCATGAGGTGCTAGATACAGAGCAGTAGTATATATTTGTTATCACTTGTTCTGTGGTCCAAGTAATTAGAAAGCTGTTCCAGCACATATTGTGTGTGACTGGAAAGATGTGACTTGATTCACTATTAAAAAGTGTTAACTTGGATTTTTTACCCAGGGTGACAAAGGGTTTGAGTTACTGTATTGGGGCAGGTTGGTGCCTGGAAGCACACTTACAAAACCTATAGAAAATTGTCAGCTACTGCTTTGTTTTGGAAAAGGAAAATGAAATTATACTCAGCTGTCAATGTATTTGCAGCTACTCTCTTTTTTCTTGTTTCTTTATTTAAGTGGGTGAGGAGGGAGAATATTTTTCTTCTTTTTTTTATGCCTTCAAATAATTGTTCCTACTTTTATGCTTGTATTTTTTTGTTGTTGTTGTGGCATGCAGTGATTCTACATCAAAAGGAAGCTGTCTTGCTTCTAGTCATAATTTGAACATTTACTATTTTAGGCCTACATTGAGAAGTATAAATTTACCAGTGTTGTGGCTCAAGATCTTCTGGATTCTTTCCTGAATTTTTTTCCAGAACTGAAAGAGCAATGTGTTGAGAGCAAAGCAGGTAAGAGATTTACTAAGTTAACTGTAAGCACTGTAGAAAACCTGGATGATGAATTTTGTGCTTGGCTTGGAGGATGCACAGGGAAATGCTAAGGCAAACAAAATAGATCAGCAACAACCAGATGTTCTTGACAGAATTTGTGGCTATTGCCTCTACACTGAGGAATGAGAACCTCTGAAATTGCTAAGAATTTTGGCATTAATTAGCTGATTGTCCCTTGGTTAACTTTCTCATTAACTCACCTTCACTCTGCAGACAGAATGATCAGTGCTTGTGAGATTTACACATGCTTAAATGCAGGGAAAAGGTGAATACACATTGAAATTTCATCTATTTTAATAACAGAAGGCGTGCTTTGAGAACTGTAACTTCCCCAAGATCCTGCCCATACATCTAAAATCTCTTCCAGAATGTTTCACTTTCAATTATATTCCCTATTTATAGCAGTTGGTGGATTTGTGGAAGGTCTGTGGCCTCCCAGGTGCTTATTATCTCACTTTCTTAAAGAAATGAGACTCGTGTTATCCTGCCATGTGTCCATCCCTGTGAATAGCTATTGAGCCCATTGGACAGTAAGAGTACAGCTCTTAAGGATACTGGGTGTCTGCAGGATTTGTGGAGAGGAAACTGCCTGTGGAGATGAGTTTTCTATGGGAAAAGCTGCAGCATGAGCTCAGCAGTTCTGTGTTTTATTTGGCCCACTGGTAGGCTAATGAGTTAACCACAGAAGTTGCTAATTTTTGCCTGGCTAATATTCAGGGGATGCAGAAGGTGGGAATTTTAGCATAGATGGTATGGAACAGGAAGTATTGCCATGGGTTAGAAAAGTACAGAGGAGGTAAAAGGTCAAGAGGAGCAACTGGAAAGCAGGCTCTGCTGCTTGTGAAGAAACTTTTTTTTTTTAATTAGTTGCATAAATAAATATAAATTCCTTGGGTTTGCTGGTGGGTAGGAGGAGTTTAGTCATCCCTCTCACCTCCTTTTTTTTATAAAATGGGTTTTCTCCATATTTGTTAGTCTTCCTCAAAATTCTGAGAGAGAAGTGCACGCACACAAATATTAGAGCATTATTTGAACATAGGTACTTGTCAACCTGGCTGCCTTAAGAGCATGTGTGTTTCTTGTACTTACTGTACTGCTGAGCTCTAGAAAACTCACAGTGAGGTTTGGAGCAGTGCTGCTGGCACTCTTCCAGGTTTTCCATAGGCTATCCCAATGAGGCTGCTAAGACTGTTGTGTCACTAAAACTATTGGTTGCTGTTGTTACAACCTCCCTTAACTATGCTAGAAGCAATCCTGAATTTTGAGGCAGCCAAGCCACCTGCAGAGATCTCTGCTCCACGTTTTTGGTGCTCCTCATTCCAGGACTGGAGTTTGAACGTTGGCTCAATGCTACAGGACCTCCATTAGCTGAGCCAGACTTATCTCAGGGATCCAGTCTGACCAGACCAGTGGAGACACTCTTCAAACTCTGGACCACAGAGCCTCTGGACTCTGTTGCTGCTGCCAGCAGTGTTGACCTCACTAAATGGAGAACGTTCCAAACTGTGCTTTTCCTGGACAGATTGCTGGATGGATCACCACTGCCACATGGTGAGTACTCTTTCCAGGATAGTAGAAAATTATCCAGGGAATAATTGATGGAATTCTAAAGATCCCTGCCTCTGGTTGACATTATAAAGTCAGGTTGATGTCCCAGGCCATGTCACAGAGGGATTGGAATAGGTGATCTTCAAAAGTCTTTCCCAGTCCAACGGATTCTGTGATTCTGAGATTTGATGAGTTATTATTTGATGACCCTCAAAATTGACAAAATAGGTCATAGTTCTTTCTCTGTGTATGTGCTCTCTTCAGAGGTGATAAAAAAGCTCTCGGAATGTTACTCCTCTCAGCTGGACTCCATGAATGCAGAAATCCGTATCCGCTGGCTGCAGATTGTAGTCCGAAATGACTATTACCCAGACCTTTACAAAGTCCGTCGCTTCTTGGAAAACCAGGTACTAACTGCTGGATTAAACTCACTGCACCTCTCAGTGCATGAGACATGTGCATGAGACATGCGACGTGAAAGACCTTGGAACTTCTGCTTCCTGGCCAAGTGTAGCCCAGGTGTGTTGCGAAGGGGCTGAGCATGGCTCACCTGCTAGCGGTGGGGAGGAATGGGCAGATGTAATTTCAAATGCCTACAGATAATCTCTGCTTTTCTAGCCTGACTTAATACCCTTATCCTAGCTCTGCCCCATGCATTTTATGTATTGCTTTGTAGCAGCCCTGGCTTTTCCAGACCACAAGTTTTTGCACTACTAAATCATGTGATTATTTGAATATTTACACTTCAAGCAAGGCTAGGGCTCATCGAGTTCTTTTCAGTAGTTGTTTTTGTGCTGGAGCAAAAGGTTAATGCATGTGTTCAGTGTGGCCTCTTCTATTTGGCCTTTAAAAATAGTTCTGTTATTTGTGGAAGTAGCTCAGTCTCGGAGAGCAGATTTTTTTTTTATTACCATTCATAAAAATCCTTGCATCAGACCTAGAATAGACTCATCTGTCTTTTGAAGAAATGTGTTGTTTGTCTGCAGTCTGAAGTTACTCAGGGCTGTTGGAGTGTAGCTGTAGAAGAGCTGAACTTCTTGACTTTCATTGAAATGTTTTTGTCTTGTTTTCCTTTTTTTGTAGATGTCTCGGATGTACACAATTCCACTTTACGAGGACCTTTGCACTGGCACTCTCAAGTCTTTTGCCTTAGAAATTTTTTACCAGACCCAAAACCAGCTGCACCCCAATTTGCGGAAAACGATCCAGCAGATCTTATCCCAGGGCTTGAATCCACTTCCTGCCATAGACACTACAGCAGTCACTACAGACACACCAGCAATGGTGCTTGAGGACAAAGTCTCAGAGGCCACAAATGGTGCCATTTCACTCAGGGATGTCAACGTGTCTGCTTAGATCACCAGTTCATGCCAGCCACGAAGCTTGAAAATGGGGACAGGAACAGAGGAAAGATACCAAGCGTTGCCTCCTTTCCCTCAGCCTTGCAGCTGCAGTGTGTTGTAACTGGATTTCTCTCCCAAAACACAAAGCAAATGTGCCTTCAAGTATCCAGTGTGTAATACTGCCAGGTTTCAGAGATCTCCACCAGCTGTGTGATGAATATTTTGATTCAGTTTTTACTGGGCAGGGACTCCTGGGCTGTTGCTTCTCTATGGAAAGTGGATAGTTCCCTTTCCTGAGGCTCTTCTGGATGGTTTCTTCAGATTTGTTGTTTGGTGGGAGGGTGTTCTTTTTCTTCTTATTTTTTCTTCTTGTCTGAGGCCACTGAGGCTGTGGAGTATGTCCTACTTGCTGTGTGTATGTTGCTGGGGAGTGTGTATGTGTCAAGCTGTCATTGTCCTAATATTTGGGCTAAAGTTCTGCAAAGGAGAGACTCAGGAATTGTTAGTGGCAGCAAACATGTTTTCATGTTATGCTCCTTCCTGTGACAGAGGTATTGTGATTTGGGAGGAAGGGGACTAATGCTTAAATGAGAAACTAATTTTAAATAGCTCCTGTTCCCCCCTGCCCATAGGTGGCTAAATAATAATAATAATGATGCTCTTTATATATATTAAGAAATATATAAAAAAGAACAGGGAAACATTATGATGGATTTGAAATCCTTCTGCTAACCCTAACCTCAGTTTTCCCTTTGCACTCGATGGGACAAGCAATAAAGAAATGTGTAGGCTTGAATTTTCAAAGTTAAAATTAGGTTCCCAAATGCCTTCAATTCTGGTACTAGCTGGATGCCTAAATCTTTTTAACTGTTTAGACAAGTCTAGCTGCAACCTTTGCTAGTGTGTCAGGATGTGTGGCACATGCATCAGATGCACTCTGTGTCTTCTATTCTGTCCTTTTGGAGGGATTACCAAGACCTGTAATTTTTTTAAGATCCCCAGCATATCTTGGCCTGTAGGTCAGCCATGAAAATATCCATGCAAAGATTTTACTGCCTTGAATAATGTTTGCCTGAGTAACAGTGGCCCTGTCATATGATAATCTGAGGGAAGCACCATCTTTCTTGATGTGAAACTTTTAAGTCCCACTTTACCCAAGTCTGTTTTCTGACTTATGGTGGGAGTAAGGTGCCATTTCATTTCCCTGGTGTGCTGTTTCTCTGGATCACTGGTCAGCCATGTAGGATGGTAAGACACTGTGCTGTTTGGTCTCAGGAAGCCAAGGGTAAAGTGTCCTGGGGTATTGCAGAGTACAGGTAATGGTTCTTAGACTCTGTGCCACAAAATTTTTAACATGTGGGTACCTGTGTGCTCTCTGTGAGCTCCCACAAGGCATCTCTGAGCTGATGCATCACCAGGATAGTATGAACAAAAGGCAAAACATTTGGAAAAGACTCGGCTAACAGAGATGTGAGAGAGAAATTGTTTTATACTCCAGGGCAAATTTTAGTCCTGCTATGGGGATCTGCATAGACAGGAAGAGGAGGAAATTTGGGAGGGCTTTGTTTTCTTCACCAAAAGTATCTGTTTACACCCATGTGTGAATGAGGACTTAGGTGCTGTTACTGGATCTGCATTTTCTGGCTTTAAATTAATTTGGATTTCACCATAGCCTTAGCCTGGGCTGAACTGGGATAAAGCAATAATAAACTCAGGCCTCTGTAGTGCTTCATTAGTTTTAAAAATGGGCCATCAGCAATTTTGGGCTACAGAACTTCAAGCTCTGCTCTTTGCTCCTTGAATGGGATTATCTTTTAAATTCTGTTTTGTTTTCCCAGAAAGGATGGAGAATGATGTTTTCTACACAAATCTCTTTCCTTTTCATTTGTTGTTCTATTGAAAGAGATTTGTACAAGCTGACTTTACACTTCTGGAGCTGCCGCTGTTGGTGCTGCGTCTCCTGGGCCCCACTGCCAGCAGCGGCAGCCTGGTCGAGACCAGGAACCACTAGAGTTTTTTGGAATCACGGGCCTCTGTTCTAACATATTTTATTTAGTGGGAGAATGTTTGTGACCCTGGTGGGAATTTTTCATTTACATGGATGCCTTATGATGATTGTCAAATTAAACTAAGCTTTGTGACAAGTTCAGCCTTTTGGGCAGTTTTTTGGTGTCCCTGCTGTAGCTGTGTGGAAGAGCTAACTTGGTACATTGTCTTTGTTTTGTTCTTTCCTGGGGTGCAGCATAGAGGGAGTTTGGAAGCTCTTTCAAAGCTACACAGGAAGGTGCTGGAGAGGTGGCAAAAGCAAACAATCAAAAATAAATATTATCTATTGTTACTAGAACTGACTGAAATACATCAGATCAGCTCTGTGTTTGCATAGACACCCATGAGAGCAAGGAAATGCTGGCTGAACTGAACAGACAGTTTCCTGGTTAAAGAACACAAGATGTATGTTAGTGTTTCTGCTCTCATCTCTGTGAGATCCCATCAAATGGCTTTTGACCTAGGACTTGTTTTCTGAGACACTGAAACAGAGTAAGATTTTTTTGAACATATTCCATGCATCCACCTCCAGATACTTCTGTTTCTCCTGTGAGTGAGGAGTGCATTTTTTACTTTGTAGAGACAAAAAACTGGCAGCAAGTTTGTGGAGATAAGCCTTCCTTTGCTGACAGAAAATAAATTGGTGCTTCAGGCTACTTGCTGTCTTGATTTGTAGTAGACTTCACGTTGACAGGCAAATTAGACTGTGATTAAATAGAAACTATTTGCCTTATCTTTGGTACATTAATTTCTGATCCATTTAAGTCAGATTAGATATCAAATCGATTTTATTCAAACAGATGCCAAGAGATTGGGTTATCTTTTTTATTTTGAAAATGAAAACTATTACTTTATTTCATTGCAGCTTTGAGCAGGGCAACAGAGGATGTAGAAATATCACTTGTGGGAAAGCTCTGAAGAACCAGTTGTTTAATAGAATGGAATATTTCTGACAATTTTTTAGCATTTCACAGCCACGTTGGTTGATACATTCAATATATTCTTGCCAGCTGCAATATACTGTGTGTAAGCTTGTATCAGTAATTTTGGCGTCATGTTACATTGCAACATTTTAACCACAAATTCTATCAACCAAGAACAATTCTATCAAGTATCCCAAACATTCTTCTTCAATCAAAACTCTTTTATGTTCTTGCACTGCAGTGACCTTGGTCATTACCTTTTTTTGATAACACAGGACTTTCTGTACATCTAAGTTCATGTGCTGCACAATTCACTTAGGTCAAGTGCACTTCTTCAGTCTGCTCTCCCTGTTTGTCCAAAGACAGAAAAACACAGTACAGTCAACACACTAAAATCACATTACGCTTTTCACACTTTTTACTATAGATTGATAAAAGCTAAAAGCCATTTTGACCACAATATCACTTGGTGTACAAGAGAAACCGTACTAGAAATCACTGTGTGAGATTTGTCAAGCCACTGTTCTCTGAGACACAGAATTATTGTCAGTTGTGAGGACACAGTTTGACACTGATTTTGTTGAAGCCCCAAGAAAATTGGTTTAGCTGTTGATTACATGCATTCCTGAAATGCATAACTAATGTCTAGTTTGGATTTGTCTACTTTTATCTTCCAGCTCTGGAAACTACTGCTTTGTTTGTGAAAGTTAAACTACTTATTCACATATAAACTACTTATCTCTTTCTCATGTAAGTACTTTTTAATTCTTAAAGAAAACAGATTGATTGGTCTGTTACTGCAAGCTGTCTTCCACAACTTCGTGTATTGACTTTGCTTGGGTGGAGCATGATGTTTCAACATCCTTTTAAAGTGGAAATTGCACATTGTTTCTCAAAAATTACCTCAATTGCTGCTGTATATTCCACATTACCTTTAAAAGAATTTTTTACTGATACTGTCCATTCATCCTTTTTTTTTCCCATTAATAACAGTAGTAATATGGGCATCTGTTAGCATATGTCTTACCTGGACATGAGAACCTTTTAAAGATAAAGGGGGCAGAGAAAAGCTATTTCATATTCTGGAGGTGACTTTTCACTCTATACAGAGGGATACTAGCTAGTGGCAATATATATATATATATATATATGTATATTTAAAAATATATATACTAGAGTCAAGTCTTTAAAAATGCAATGGCATTAGTGGGATTTGCAAACCCTTTTCCAAAATCATATTTACTGAGGTGCAGCATCTTGTGTGCTGTGGTAGCCAGGCTGAAAATTTGGAGCTGTGTGTGCCTGAATGAGAGAGGTCTATAACCCCAAATACCCACTCCAAAATCTCTCTTAAGCAAAAAGACACTCTGTGCTGTTCCCTTGATACAGCTCTGATCACTGTCAGCTCAGTATTGCTGTGCCTTGCTAATCCTGGTATCAGGATTCAGAGAATTCAAGAGCTCCCTTGCGAACAGCTTCCGTGTGTCAGCATTTGCAGAAACAAACACACACATTGGGCCCAGCCACTGCTGCTCGATTACTTTTACTCCCCTCCCTGTCCTTGAACCACTGGGAGTTGGAGACAAAAGCAAACATGGGACTGATGAAACCCCAAAACTGGCAAACAACCATGAAAATATCAAACACTATTCTAAAGGATCATCTTCATTCACATGGAAATGAGCTGGTTATTAAGCTGGACACAAATCCCTTTTAAATTTCTATAGCAATGGGACTCAACCCTTCTCAGTCTTCCTTCTTCCTTTCCAATGAGAAAGGAAGCACCTACATTAAAGTGGACTGAGGCAACAAGACAAGTATAATTTTGTCTTAAAATGTTATCTTCAAGACCTTCTGTCTAAATAGACCTGTGTTTTATCTTCAGGAAGAGTTTAATCCAGCAGGATTGCCAAGAGGCAACAGGGAAAGTTCTCTCTTTGCTGCTCTCATTGCAAAGAGTTTCGGGTTAACAGAAAAAAATCATCAATTGCATACTGTATTAATTCGCTCCTTTCCAGCCTTGGAGTGGGGCAGGGAATGTTATCAGGATGTTATCTGAGAGACCAAGATAACTTCTATCTCTTTCCTTCTTCTAATGGCTTCATAAATAAATAGGTAGGTATTTAACTAATTAATTGTTGCAGGCTGAACCTCCTGTATTTACAGTTAGAGCTCAACATTTATCCTGCTTTCTAGAATTGGTCCTCTGATGGAATTTATGCAGTTGTGTGATCGCTGTTTCCTAAAGAATGCAGGGGTGAAATCACACAGATCAGAGCCTCACTGTTCCGGACACAGAGGCCTTTCTTTCCCCTTTCCCTCCCCCAACAGAGCTCTCCTGTGTTGCTCGCGCGCAGCCGCGCAGCTGCAGCTCCCTCGCATGAGCCGTGGACAAGAGGGTTATTCTTACTGCCAGCAATGTTTCCTCTGCTCCCAAAAGGGTCAAAACTCCAACGTGAAAAGTCTTGTTTGTTGATTAAATTTGCAGCGTGCAGGGGAGAAGCCTTGTGTCTGTACAACGGGCATGACCGAGGGGCAGAGAACCTAATTCTGAATGTCAGGGGTTGGACAGCTGCTGCAGTTACCTGAGAGCATTTCCATCTGCCAAGGTTGGCTTGAGAGGAGGATTTCTGCATTAACGTCTGATAAAAACCATAGGCCTGTGTTTTCTGTGGCTCTCTCGTTCAGATGACCTCTCTACTCAAGGACCAGGTGACCTTAGACTCAAACACATCATCACAGGCAAGTGTGATGGCAGATTTTTTGGTAAACACCTCGTCCTTCCACAGAGGCTCAGCAGCTTCTTTATTGACCACACCTGAGCTCCCTGAGGTACCCTAATGTGAAAGGCCCAAACATGGAAAAGACAACAGCCTCCTTCAGCGTGCCCTGAAACCCAAAACCTTGTAGTGCTGAAGGACAGCCTCGTGGGGCCCTTATTTCTGCATTTCTGTTCTTTGTACCTGAGCTAGGGAGTATTTTTAAGGCACTTTTACTATTTCACTGGTCAGCAGTAGCTATCGGAATATAGAAAATTAACATATCTCCTTTGACGGTTCAGCCCGTGGACGACTATATGGTGATAAACTATCCGAAAATGTGCTCTGTGCCATTATGTCAGGAAAGCACTCGATGAGGGCCAGCGATTTCTCTGTGTTTCCCTGTCACAATCTTCATGAAAACACTTTGGATTCATTTTCCTCAGGTGCCCACGTCCCGTGCCCCACACGAACAGCTTCCCATTTCCCCCGAGCATTCCCGCACCCCGGGGACCCCTCAGCTCCCCTCCGCCGGAGGGCGGGGCCAATACATGATGCGCGCGCAAGTGCCGTCTGCTGATTGGTCGCCGGCGCCGTCCGTCATGGGCGAGCTGGGCGGGGCCGCGCGTGCCGGTGTTGCCGGGTAACGGCCGCCCCGGGCAATGGCGGCGGGACCGCCCCGCGGTGAGGGGGGACCGGGAGCCGGGGCGACCGGGCCGGCACCTCTTGTGGGGACGGGGGGCTGGGGGGCACGAGGGGGCGTGGGCGGAGGGACCCTCTTTGGGCTGGGTGTGAGGAAAGGGGTGGGGGGTGAGCATTGTTTGAAGGGTATGCGCAGAGCGGGGTCAGGGACCTAGCGGGTGTAGGTCTCCTCATGAGGAATCCCCCTTGTCTTCCAGCTGAGCGCTGTAGGGCGGCGTCAGGTGCTGGAAGAAGCAGCACCATGGTGGTTCCAGGTGCTCCGTGTTACAGTGAGAGGCTGTCCATCCCTAAATAAATCCGCCATGCCTGTTTGTTTCCCTGTTGCAATTCCCCGGTAACACTCGCTTCTGTTGCAGGTTGCTGCCTGGCCATTTAAAGTCGTAGGAATAGCCGGCAAAGCTGCTTAGGACTGTGTTGAAAATGCTGGGAGAGAAAAAGCAGTTAATGGTGGCAAGAGACCTTTACACAGACCCCACGTTCCCGGCCAGTGATACCTCCATATTCTTTAATTATTGTACCCCGCTGGCCCAATTCAGAGGCGAGATATCTTGGTTGAGACCTAAGGTGAGTTTTAAGGTATAAAAGGCTAATTTTAGCAGAATTGGGCTTTTAGGTAGTAAATGCAGGTTTGCATTGAATGACTACTTCTGCTTATTTGTTTGGAAATACAGAAGTGATAAAACCAGTGTATGTCAGCGTTAACAATACATGAGTTACAGTTTTTAGTCTAGGTGCTTGTTTGTAGACTTGATTTAGATCCTCTTGTAGAGCTTTTAAATTTCATGGCAGTAAGAGAAATTCAGATATTTTATTAGAAATATGTGTCATTATGAAAATTATGTGCATACCAAGTTAGAATGCAACATTTTGTCATTTCCAAACTTTTTGATGTATTACATAACAGTCTTGAAAATAAGTAGCTGTAT